TGGAATCTATGCAACATAACATTATGAAGCATGTATGTATGCATGTATGTAAAAAGAGAAAAAAAAAGATTGAGGAAAAACAAAGTGAACACAAGCTCAGGAAACATGGAGGATAAAATCAGAAGTATTTACTTTAGTGTTGCTGGGAGGAAAATATCATTCACCCACTCAAAGATCAAGCTGTTTACTATACCAAGGAAATTACCTAAACATGTAAATTATTGACTTCATATCTTTTTAATTCTTTCATGAAATTTATTTTCCTTTGGATCCCAGTTATTTAAGGATTCAATGAAGGAAAGACAGACCACAAAAGAATGTTCTGACAAGGAAGATTGAAATTAAAAGAAATAACAAATAGGTATTAAGAAGTCAAACTATCCCTATTGTAATGACATGATCTTATACCTAAAAGACCTGAAAACTCCTAGGAACCATTAAGACTTTAGCAAAGCAGCAGGATACAAAATCAATTACAAAAATTAGTAGCCTTTCTATACACAAATAATGAACAGATTGAGAATGAATATAGGAAAAACAATTCCATTCACAACAGCCTCATAAAAAATCAAATACCTAGGAAAATACTTAACAAGGATGTGGATGACCTCTACAAGGAAAACTACAAACCACAGAAGAAATCAAAGAAGACTACAGAAGATGGAAAGATCTCCATGCTCATCAACACACTAAAATGGCTATACCACCAAAGCAATCTACACATTCAATGCAATTCCCATCAAAATCCAAATGACATTCATCATAGAGATTGAAAAATCAACCCTAATGTTCATTTGGAAGCATAAGGCAATACTAAACAAAAGAGCTATGCTGGAGGTATCATATAATACCCAACTTGGCAACTATACTACGAGCCAGAGCAATAAAAAACAGAAATGGTACTGGCACAAAAACAGATATGAAGACCAGAGGAACAGAACAGAAGGCTCAGATATGAATTGATGCAGCTACACCACCCCCCCACCTAATTTTTGACAAAGGTGCCAAAAACATATGATGGAGAACAGACAGTGTCTTCAACAAATGTAGCTGGAAAAACTGGATATTTGCCTGCAGAAAACTGAAACTACATCCATGTTTGTCACCCTGTACAAGTATCAACTCAAAGTGAATTATGGAGCTGGGCACTGACTCACACCTGTAATCCCAGCTACACAGGAGGCAGAGAATGGGAGGATTGCAGTTCGAAGAAAGCCCAGACAAATAGTTCCTGAGACCCTATCTTGAAAAAACCTATCATAAAAAAGGGCTGGTAGAGTGGCTCAAGGTGTAGGCCCTGATTTCAAACTCTAGTACTGCAAATAACAACAGAAAAAAGTGAATTAAGGACCTTAATATAAGACCGGAAACCTTGAAGCTAGTATAGGAAAGAGCAGGAAATACAATGGAAGCAATAGGCATAGGCAATGATTTCCTCATTAGAACTCAAGTGGCTCAGCAGCTAACAGAAAAGATCGACAAACGGAACTACATGAAATTAAAAAGCTTCTACACAACAAAAGAAATGGTCTCTAAATTGAAGAGGCTGCCCACAGAATGGGAGAAAATCTTTGCTAGCTATACATCAGGCAAGGAACTGATAACCAGAATATACAGGGAGCTCAAAAAACTAAACTCCCCCTAAAAATCAATGACCCAATGAAGAAATGGGCAAATGAACTGAACAGAGCCTTTTCAAAGGAAGAAGTCCAAATGGCTAAAAAAAAAAAAAAACCCACATGAAAAAATGCTCACCATTCCTAGCCATCAAGGAAATGCAAATCAAAACCACATGAAGATTCCACCTCATTCCTGTTAGAATAACTATCATCAATAACACAGCGGGGCTGGGGGTGGGGTGGGTGGGTGGTGGAAGGAACTTCATATACCTCTGGTGGGATGTAAGCTAGTACAACCACTATGGAAATAGTATGGAGTTCCTTAAAATACTAAGAATTAACCTGCCATAGGATGTAAGCGGTCAATCAGGTTACAACAAAGACACCTGCACATCCATGTTTATTGAAGCACTATTAATAACAGCTAAGCTATGGAACAGCCAAGATGCCCCACTACTGATGAATGGATTAAGAAAATGTGGTGTTTATACACAAATGGAATTTTACTCAGCCACAAAGAAGAATGAAATTTTCTTATTTGCAGGTAAAAGGATGAAACTGGAGAACATCATCTTCAGTGAAGTTAGTCAGGCTCAGAAGGCCAAAAGTACATGTTTTCTCTCATATCTGGAATACAGACCTAATACAAATGCAGCAATATTATGAAACACTGGTCACACCAAGGGGAGATCAGGCACAGGAGGGGTAGGGAAACTAAGAACTTGAATATGGCTGATATACTATCTGTAAAGAATAAATACAGAAATTTAAACTGGCTGAAACTGTCATAAGAAAGGGACTAAGACAGAATGAAGAAAATTGGAGGAGATAAGCAATTGGAGTTATAAAACATGGAAATATCAAAAGGAAACTCTCTTTGTAGTTACCTTTATCTCAAAGATAAAATGTCATGTTTTTCTTTTTATCTTTTTTCTTCTATAAAATTGGAAAACAGCAGGGTGGAACAGGTCCTGCCCAGTTTAGGAGTAGGGGGAGGGCTGATACCACGGGAAGGGGGTGGTGGCGGGGAAAGGATGTAAGAGGGTGAATATGGTGCAAAAAATGTGTACACATGTATGTAAATGCACAAAATGGTACCTGTTGAAACTCTTTCAGGAATCAGGGGAGGAGAAGATAAAGGAGAACAGTAGAGGGGCTGAATTCAAGTATGATACATTCTGAAAACCTGTGTAAATACCACAATGTACCCCCACCCAGCACAAAAATAAAGGGAAAAAAGATTAAAAAAAAAAAAAGCTCTGAGAGATATAAGAACCAAGAGGAAGCAAAGCAATGACAGAAATTTCAGAAGAAAATAGAGAAGTTCAAGGAGGGAATGGACAACAGTTGAGAGAACTAATATGACTAGTCTAAAAACTACCAAAGTGATCTGGCAAATTGATCAGGATTTTCACACACAGTAGAGGTTGAAAAGTGAATGGAAAGCATGAGTAGAGATTTGAAAAGGATGGATAGAGTAGGTAGATAGGGGTGTGGATTAATCGCATTCTTCTTTTTTTTGTTTTTTGGTAGGAATTTCAACTCAAGGTTTCTTGCTTGCTTGTCAAGGACTCACCCCATTGAGCCAGACCCCTAGCCCTGCATTTGCTTTAAAGGATGGAAAAGGATCAAATCTGCATGTAGGCTTCAAAGAAACCAGAAAACAGATTAAAGAGACTGAAGATACAATAGACAATACCCAATATGGTTGTTTAACAAATACATTACAATGAATTAGATCAGCTAGCCATATTAAATAACATATTGTTATACCATCATCTAGACAATTTATGTTCCAGAAAGGAGTACATTATATTTCAAATTTCTTATTCAATAGGCTAATTTTTCTACAGAATAAACAAAAGTATTAAAAACTAGAAGCAAAAGGAAGAAAAATATCTGTCACTATCTCAGGTACAACTTTTACTTCGTAAGTATAATCCTGAAGTTAAATAATACACAATTCAGAAACATGCACATAATAGACAAGCTTTCCCCCCATGATATTTTGACAATAATATTTACTATTTGGCAGGAAATATTTACAAATACATAAATCAAACTTGATCACAATCAAAAAAAATCACAGTGAAACCACTTCATAAATTAACGTAGGCTAAGGAAAAGGAAAAAGAAGACAACGTACCACATCTCTTACAGAAGTACTTGATTTCTTGAGTAAATACAACTCTTTTTTCTTTTGTTCAATGTAGTATCTAATATCTTTATTAAAGGAAAGGCTTAAGATTAGCAATTATATCGTTAGTGTTAAACAGTACCATTTTCTTTTCTTTTTTATGGTGGTATGAGGGTTTAAACTCAGGGTCTTGCACTTGGTAGGCTGTACAGGTTGAGCACACCCCCATTTTTATTTTGCTTTAGTTATATTTAGATAGGGTCTTGTATTCTTCCTCAGGAACTAGACTGGGACAGAGATCTTCTTACCTAGGTCTCCTGTATAGCAAGCATTATTAGCATATGCCAGCACACCTAGTCTACTGATTGAGATGTGATTTTGCTAACTTTTTGCCTGGGCTGGCCTCATAATTTCTGCATCCTGAGTAGCTAGGATTATACAGTGAAATTTTTTATTTCTTTTCTTTTTTTTTGGTGCCAGGTATCAAACCCAGGGCCTTGCACATACGAGACAAGCACTCTACTACTGACCTTCATCACAGCCCAATAGTGCTATTTTCTTAGTTTTGTAGTATTATTTGCTATCAAAATTCTCACTATGTAAAATTAGAAACCAAGGGACAGGCATGGGCACTTATAACCAATTTTGCCAAAAGACAATTATAAGATCCTTACCATCAATATGAAGAATTTTTACTCCCCATGATAAGGCATTTGACAATATACTATTTGAAGGAATAAAATCCTGTTTAAAAAAAAAATGTTGAGAATTTGTCGAAGTAATTACTGTTTAAAATGAGCCACTTAAAAAAACATTTAACGCATAATATCACTTAAATGGTTATTCATAACAGGCCCCAGAGTTATGATAGCAATGAGGACATTATTTTTTCTTTTGGCATTTCTAAAATCAATCCTACTTAATTTCTATAGTCTTGACAACTCAAAAGCTTCCAGTAATATTTTAGAAGACCACAAGATTTCTCCCTGAAAAGGAGATTCTGTTCTTTCTAAAATGAGATACATGCAGCAATTTAGGCTTTTCCTATTAAAAATAAATGAAACAAGGATTTTGAGAGTATCTATAATTTCCAGTTGAGTATTTTTTTCCCTTTTTTGGCAATACTGTATCTTGAACTCAGGGCCCACTGTTTGCTAGAGAGAGTGTCTACAACTTGAGCCACATTCCTAGCCCTTCCACCTGACTTTTTCATAATTAAATAGACAATGTGAATTTTTAAAGTTCCTACTTACATGATCCTTGATAGCTTTTTCAACTAACAATTTTCCTCGACTTAAACACACCTATAAAAAGACCAAGGAAGACAAACAGAGTTGTAACATAGTGCTTCATTGGAAAAAAGGAAAGAAAAGCAAAATAAAGTAAATAAAGTAATTTCTTTAAGGGCCTTGGCAAGATAGCCTAGAAAAAAGTTTGTTTCTTTTTTTCTTTTTTTTGGGGGGGAAGCAAATAAATTCTATTTAATGAGATCCAAGAGGTCCATTCTGTAGTAAATTCTATTCGAAATGAAAACTAAAATAGCTAGGTTTCACTGGACTTTTAAAAAAAATCTACAGTTAGCTGGTTTACATCTTAGTTTCTTAAATATTTAAGAAGAATAAACCATATGCATTATTTTCACTTCTATTTATGTTTCCTTTCTCAAATGGTTTACTCTTTTTTTTTTCCCCTCCATGTTTTCCCAGCTTTTCACATGGCTGTAAATAGTATGTTGGGTAGGATGCTTTAAAAATGCCAATTTAATTACATCTAATCTAAAAAGTTAGATAAACACTTTATCTCCCAATCTCTTCTCCCCATAACCAATTACAAAACTTAATTCATCCTTTCTTGAATCTACCAACTTATTGGCAATGGAGTGACAGGGTATGATGCTAGTAATTCTGTCACAGGGGTGGCCACCTTTTCAGACAGTATACACTGTAGGCTCTGTAGGCCACATGCTCTCTATCACAGCTATTCAATTCTGCCAAAAGCACAAAAGCAACCATAAGTAATATTATCACAAATGGATATGGTTATGTTCTAATTATAACTTTATGGACAATGAAATCTAAATTTCTACTTGTCATAAAATATTCTTTTGATTTTTCTCTTTTCCCCACCAATGATTAGAAAAACTAACAGCCATGCTTAGTTTGCAGGTTGTACAAAAACAGGCAGCAAGTTGGATTTGGCCAAGTTCTTTCACTCCTGTCTTGAAATTTAAACAGCTTTACATTTCTCCTTTAAAACAATGATCTGCTATTAACTTTTTAGTTGTAAATTACTCTTCCAAATAAAAGTAATCACTAAGAGTAAGGGTATACTCTAGAAACCAGGGTATGAATACCCTGTTCTTAGAAAACAATTCCCTTTCTAAAGAGATAGCAACCAAATTAATGACCATAAAGCCACAGCTTTATAACTGTTCTACCTAAGTGAACTCTGCTGCTGGCCTATTATTGGAAACCATGAGCTGGGTTGGTGGTGCATGACTTTCACCCTAGCAAATGGGAGACAGAGGCAGGAGGATCACAAGTTCCAGATAGCAAGATCCTGTATCATAAAAAGAAAACTATGAGATTCTCAGACTACGGCAAAGAGACTTGCAAAGCATATTTAATAGACTTACTGTGTCTGGAGACTTAAATGAACTTCCATCATAGCTGGGATGAGGTGAGGTAGTTTCTGCAGTATATGCAGACTCTGGACTTGGTACAGGAGAATTTCGACTCAATGTTTGTGCAAATTTTGCTTCCTTTTTATTTGAAATAAGGTAACTGATATCTTTGCTGAGAAATTCTTCAACTCGCTAAAGGAAAAGAAAGTATTTTTAAGTAAACCAAAAACCATAGCTGGGTGTCAGTGACTCACACTTGCAATCCTAGCTAGTTGGGAGGCGGAGACTGGGAGTTCTGCAGTTGGCAGCTAGTTGGGCAAATAGTTCCAGAGACCCCCATCTCCAAAGTAACCAGAGCAAAATGGACTAGAGGTGTGGCTCAAGTGGTAGAGCACCTGCTTTGCAAGTGTGAAACCCTGAGTTCAAACCCCAGTCCCACCAAAAACAAATAAAAAAACATATTTCATATATTCTGCACAGTATAAAATTTCATTGTGATGCAAACTAAAACCTTGTAAACTGATGTTTTTTATGCTGCATTTTTCTGAAGTAGAGGAGTTCCAATAACAACACAATAATGGCAAGTGTTGACTATAATTAAGTGCTTTAGTCCAATTAATGTTAATCTACACAATCACATAGTACTAACATTATCCACATTTTTCAGAGGAGAAAACTGAAGAGAAGTGATTTGAGTTTACTCCAGCAGTAAATAAAAGAATTTGAATACAGGTATTCTGACTCAAGCCATAATCTAAGCAGCAGTATTCAGGAGAATTTTCTACAATGATGAAATGTTCTTTGCACTATTCAATATGGTAACATCTTGCTACATATGACTACTGAGGATGTGAAATGTAACTAGTGTGACCAAGCTACTACATTTTAAATTTAATTTTAATGAGTCTACATTCATGTGCTATTGGCTACTATATTATACCGCACAGTGCCGAATTGTTAAATTATATCACCTTCCCCACAATATTAAACATACAAGAGGAGGGAATCTTTATTCTCATCAGTATAAGAGATTATACTGATTATTAGATTTGAAAGTAGCTACTTAAATGCTGAATTCATAAATAACATTGACATGACCAAAGTCAATGTTACTGAGGAAACCCACATTCAGGGACAGGAAAATAAAACTGAGTAGAATAATACTAATAGTGTTATTAAAATACATATTGTATAAATATATGAATGTCACGAAGCAGAAAAAAGTCAATAATCATTAAGTTTTGCATAAATGAAGACTCCTAAAATATTTTAGGTTTATCTAATTTCTATAGGATCTCATACCACAAAAGGGGATAAAAAAACATGAAGCAAAGTTTGTAACAGATAAATTAATTTCATCTATCCACTACTCAGAATTAACAGCCGAGAGGAACAACCTTTCGAGTTAAATGAAAATTACTTCCTTTCTTCCTGAGCAAATTTTCATTGACTAGAATAAAGTATGTGCATTTATTTACTCCAGGGATAACAGACTAAAATCCATATAAAGCCAGGCAACTTATGACAACTTATATGTATTACATAATGTCTTCGTTTTCATAAACATGAGGCCCTAGCAATGCCAGATGTTCTGTTTTTTTCTGGCAGTATTGGAGTTTGAACTCCGGGCCTCACACATGCTAGGCAGGAGCTCAACCACTTGAGCCACTCCATCAACCCAGGTTCTAACTTTTCAATAGAAGCATAATTTCCCATTTTATTGTGATAAAACATAAATAACATAAAACTTGACATTTTAACCATTTTTAAGCTTATAATTCAATGGCGATAAGTACATCTGTAACGTTATTCAGAGATTACTATTATTTTTATTATCCTAAACTTAAATGCTGAATCCACTAAATGATAACTCCTCTATCTCCCCAGCCTGTCTAACCTCTATTTTACACTGATTCTATGAATTTGGTTATTCTAGGTACCTCACTGCTATGGTTTGAATGTCCCTATTTAAAGTCATGTTGAGATTTAATCCCCAATATGAGGTACTGAAGTGAAAACTTACAGTTTCACTTACAGTGATTTTTTTTTTTTTTTGCGGTACTGGGATTTGAACTCAAGGCCTATACCTTGAGCCACTCCACCAGCCCTTTTTCGTGATGGGTTTTTTGGAGATAGGGTCTCGAGAACTATTTGCCCATGCTGACTTTTAACTGCAGTCCTCCTGATCTCTGCCTCCTGAGTAGCTAAGATTATAGCATTAGCCAGCAGTGCCCGGCAATTATGGTGGTTTGAGGTAGAGCCTTTGGAAAGTAAAGTTAAATGTGGTCACAAGTGTGGGGCCAGGCCTTAATCCAATAGGAATGTAGTTATAGAAGAAAAGAGATCTGAATTAGGAAAATCAGAGATGCCTTGTGTCACCTTGAGATTTACCTCCAGGACCTCACCAGATGAAGATGCTTAATCTTCAACTTTAGACTGCAGAACAAGTAAAACTTAATACTTTATTGAGTTTATGGTATTCAGTTACAACAGAAAATAGACTAAGACACTTGTAAGTGGAATCTTGTATTTGCCCTTTTGTGATTGGCTTCTTTCACTTAGCAACGTATTAAGTTGTCCATGTTACAGCATATATCAGAACTTCATTTCCTTTTATAGCTATATATATAGTCTACTCTATGCATATACAATATTTGTTTATTCACTTACCTGTTGGACAGTTAGGCTGTTTTCACCTTTTGGGTATTGTATATAAAGCTGGTAACATATGAATATACAGTATCTTTTTGATGCCCTGCTTTCAATATTTTTGGAAATATATATCCATCCAGAAAGAGAACTGCAGAAAAGCTTTTAATTTCTTTAGAAACCACCCATACTGTTTTGCATAGTGGCTGCTTCTTTTTACTTTCCCACAGTGCACAAAGGGTTCCATTTCTCCACATCCTTGTTAACAATTATTACTTTCTGGTTCCTTGATAGTAGCGGTACTAATGATTGTGACTTAATGTGGTTTTGATTTACATTTCCTTAATGATTAGAATGCTGAGATCTCTTGTGAACTTATTGGCCATTAGTACATCTTTGAATAAATGTCCGTTTAGGTTCTCTGCCCATTTTTAAATTGAGCTATTTTCTGTTGTTGAACTTCTAACTTTATTATATATACTGGATATTAATTACTTATCAGTTATATAATTTGCAAGCACCTCCTACCATTCTGTAGATTATTTTTCACTGTAAAAATATCATTTTGAGGCACAAGAGTTTTTAAGTTTGACTAGGTCCATTCATATACATACATACATATATCTATCTTCCATTTGTTGCCTATGATTTTAGTATTATATCCAAGAAATCATTGCCGAATCCAGTAGTATAAAGATTTTCCACTAAAAATTTTACCTCTTGCATTTAGATCTTGAATTTAATTTTTGCTATGATGGAAGGAAAGGGTCTATATTTGTTTGTATGTGGCTATCCAGATTTCCAAATAACTGCTGAAAAGATTGTCCCTTACCCACTGAAGGGTCTTGGCACCCTTTTTTAAATAAATAAATAAATAAATAAATAAATAAATAAAAATCAACTGACCACATATAAAGGGATTTCTTTCTATGATCTCTGTTGTATTTCACTGGCCTATATATTTGTCATGATGCCAATACCACACAGTTCTTTTGGCTTTTCAATTTTTATAGATTGAGTTAAATCTTCTTAAAAGTGAATATAATGTCCTTTGCAATATGATGCTAACATACTGTTTCTTGCCATTTCCCCATTCTAAATCCCTAGTTTATGACATAATCGAAAATTAGTAGCTGCACAAAACAAACAAAACCATACAGATAAATATTTTAAATATGTTCTTTACTATATTATGTCCATTTTGCTTGTTACCTTCCTAATAGTCCTTCAAGATCTAGGTCAAACATCTCTACTATGGTTCCTGATGCCAGAGTTAATAACTTTCATCTATATTCTAATAACAATTCCTGCATATTTCTGTTAAAGCATTCACAATGTCCTAATATAAATTATTTAGTTGTCTGCTATTTCCACTAGATTGAGAACTAGACTGTGTTTTCACTTTCTCATTATCTAAAACAGTGCTGGCATATGGGGCGCACAGGCAGAATAATTTCTGAATGAATTTCCACATCCCCAAATTTCTTTTTTGGTGGTACTGAGATTTGAACTCAGGGCCTTGTGCTTGCTAGGCAAGCAGACTACCATTTAAGCCATGTCCCTTGTCCTTTTTGCTTGGGCCTGGCCTCTGACTGCAATCCTCCTGCCTACATCACCTTAGTAGCTAGAATTATAGGCATGATCATGGCACCTGACTTCACATGCTCAAATTTTCAAAGCTTACTTCAAATTCTGTCCGTACAAAGTCCTCCACAATTCCTTAGCTAGAAGTAATCTCTAATTTCCCTTGACATTTTATGTTGTATTACATCTATGCCATTTCTACCCAGATTAAAACACACAATACTGTGCCCTGCACACCATAGTCAATAATTGTTCAAGTAGTTCTACCATGGTGTTTGATTTATTAGAAATTATTGAATCTATGCCTTTTTAAAGAGTAAATGCAAAACTTATTTTCCGACAACTCAAGGTCACCATGATGAATATCAAACACTGAATTCTGTCCTCAAGCTAATGACACAGTAAGGCATTTGCCCTTCTGATTTTCTCCAATTCAATTGCCTTATTTTAGCCAAAACTGTATAGAGATGGACTTAAATGTGGTTGGTTCCATTTCTTTTTTTTTTGAGACAGGGTCTCAATATGTAGCCCAGGCCAGTTCAAACTCACAGTCTTCCTGCCTCAGCCTACCAACTGCTGGGATAACAGATGTGCCACCAAGCCTGGCTCCATGTCCTTAGATACCTTGTACTAGCTACTTTTCTTACCACTATTAAAGATACTTCTCCATTATGTCAGAATATGCCATGCTTTTAGTGGTTTAAGTATGTTACGTTGATAGACGGGTATTAACATATTTTCATCAATACTAGAAAAAATAGGAGGGCTGGGAGTGTGGCTCAAGTGCTTAAGTCCCTGAGGTCAAACCCCAGTATCATTTAAAAAATGAAAGATAGAAAAAACAAATATATATAAAAGAGTCAAACAAAAAGACCATCAAGGGTAATATGAAACAAAATAAGTAATAAGGATAAAGGGTCTGAATAAAACTAAATATGAAAGAATAAGCATAATTCTTTAAAGGAATATTTATTTAACAAAATTAGTATTACTTAAAACTGAATTTTGAAACTCTTAAATTAACAGTCTACATAGGGGTCAAAGCACCTTTATAGTTCACAAAGGAGATCTTTATGACAAAATCTTTTCAGTGATAGAACTGGCAAATATTGTAGAAACAGAAATCAGGATCTAAGAATGAAAATCGTAAAATATAAGATTGTATGGAAAGAGATTAGATACAATGCATAACTTTTTAAAGAAGAAAGCAAGTCAAATTCAATTGAAAACCTGCAGCTTTGGAAAAATTTTTGGAAACATTTCTTTATATGCTCATTAAGGTACTTCAAAACATTTTAGGGTAAAGATTTGAAGTGTATAAAACCAAAAGTTTCCTCAAGTTTGTATGGCAGAAGAAATTCAAAATTTGCTTCTTGCAAGTACCTTAGGAATGCTGTGGGGATGGGGGAGAATGGAGGAGGGAACAGAGAACACTGCTCTTTTAGCCAGAGCTCTTTTTTTAGACTTTTCACATTGGATTTTTGAATATGAGTTTGTTTGAAGGGTCCTACAGCTAATAAAGGAAATTAAATATTACTGATTTAGACCATTAGACCTAGGGTTAATGGAAATTATCACCATATTCACAAAAGGTGTCAAACTGTATCAAATAGCTACCTTATAGCCAGTGTTTGTTACAGGAAAGAATAGCGGTGCACTATTATTCTGGGAATTCAAAGGTGAATACTACTCTAATTGGGTAGTCACTTTTCCTGGACCTCAATTACTTTGTTTCTAAAATGAAGTGGTCTTTACTTATGACTAAGGTCCTTAACACATTAGGACCTTAACACAAGGTAGTATAGTCAACATGGGGCAGGCCTATGAAACATAACCCTTAGAAATGCAATCATAAGGTCATTATGAAAAACAGTAGTACTACTGTAAATATGTGACAGTGTTTTAGTTTAATTAAATGAATAACAAAAATGTACAAAAACTTTTCAAAGACAGGTACGTAAAGTATGATATCGACAAATTATTCCAGGAAACTTGTTCTCTTGACATTCTAGGCTTGGAATTAAATAACAGGTTCAGATAATCAAACATGCTAACCTACAGAAATTCAAAGTCCAGCAGGAATGTTTTAAACAGGAAAAGTCTCAATAACCTTACTTGCTAACATTCAGCCAATTAATCCTAATCCTAACAAATCTTAGAATTTTACCTGAGTTTTCAAATTTCCTAAATATCTATTAAATATATGATAGGAAAAAAGGTTTAATTCTTTTTTTTGCAGTATTGGGGTTTGAACTCAGGGCCTACACCTTGAGTCACTCTACCAGCCCTTTTTTGTAATAGGTTTTTTTCAAGATAGGGTCTCGAGAACTGTTTGCCTGGGCTGACTTCGAACCATAATCCTTATCTCTGCCTCTTGAGTAGCTAGGATTACCAGTGTGAGCCACCAGCACATGGCTAATAATTCTTAATCCAAAATTCTGTTCACTTAATGACACTCATTCTGATCCAGTCTTTCTCAAGATACACATCTGGGTATACAGTTCCAAACAGACCATCACTGAGAAAAAAACCACAAGTGCTCAGGCTGCACAGAGTACACTAATGTACTGTGGATAGTTGATTCGTTTTTCCCATAATACTGCTAGATTTCCACTAAAGACATGCCATCATTTGACAACTAAAATTTTCATTTTAACATTCCAATAAAGCACATTTACATACCCTTTTTAATTTGGGAGGATCACCATAACTTTTATCTTGCTATCTGGGCACTATTTGTGTTTTGGGAGGCACATTTTCATTAAATTAAAGACAAGGAAACACTAAGCAGTTCACAAAATTTACACAACTGATGATAATGTGGGACTCACAGAGCTTCTCCATATCAACTGACCTTTGTAATACACATATAGTACTTAAACTTTTTTTTTGAAATTTCTTTTGATTTAAAACAAAATTTTTACTGTACTTGGTCAAAATGGCATGTGATAAATCTGCAAATAAGATGGGCTTAATATACATACATATGTGGTATGTAGTTCCCCAAGTAATCATAAAGGAGTTCTTGCTATTTGGAGGACAACCTAACACTACAATGAGAAAGCAGTAAAGTAGCTCACTAGAAAAAGGGAGTCTCATTTCTTACACTCTGGGAATTTTACTACTAATTTAAGACCTGAAAGTTTTGTCAGGCTATGAAAGGTCTAAAAAAATGATTTCCTTTCTTTTTTTGGTTTTGGGGATTGAAACCAGGGCCATATGCATACTAAGCCGGTGTTAAGCCACTGACCTTCCCCTGTTCCCAAATGGCTTTTCATAAGTGATAAACAGAACAGCTGATAAAAATTTTAAGCTTGGTGAGGATAGATGGCTACAATTTTCCAAAATGAAAAGTTTAAGTAATCACGTATTAGAAAGTACTAGCACAAATTTTTACTTTTTTTGTGAGTGTATACTTTTCACTTACCCCTCCCAGATCCTTTATGTCTTTCTGCAGCTTTTCAGATATGGTGACAGAAGGTAAGTCAAGGTAAAATACTTTCCCCCAAAGTGGCTTATATTTGGATTTTTCTGGTCTGCTATCAGTTTTCAGAGATTTCAAAGATGGTCTGTTCTTTTCGTTTTTGACTTGGAGTCCACCTATTAAAAATGCTAAGAATTAGATATTTTATACCGATGAAATTTTCAGTTTTAAAAATATTGCATTATTCAATCATATCACAGAAAGAGAAAATCTATCATAGTCACACTAACTCAAGTCATTAAAATTTAAATGTATTTCTCTGTATTACCACTTAGGATAAAAGCAAAACACCTTATATGGTTTCATAGATTGGAAAGTAACACTTAAATATCCATGTGTTTATTCCTGTTTAGTGTTAAGGCACAGAAATATGCATGTTCCTTTCTGAAAGACTTTCTCAACATGTGAACTCCACATACAGGTATTTACCCAAGTATTTTCTGAGCACCCACAGTTCTGAACACTCAAAACTGATGCTTCAAATGTTAAACACTTGACTAGGCAAAACGAATAAAAAAACCCTGTTCCCCAGAATGACCTAGTCTTTAAGGGTTACTGACTGCTCCTGTTTTGGTTTCATATAAAGTTTGTCTATTACTAAAAAGAATTAAATGATCTCTTTCATATACCATCTGCCTACATATTAAGAACGACATCACCATTCATTTGATTATTTTCGGAAGACACAAGCAAGTGCTTTAAACTGTGAGAACACGTTCTGATAGGCGGTTAGGACACACACACACCTATATTAAGGACTTCAGATGCCCAAACACCTTTCTGTGAGCGACAATGGAAAGATGCTTTTGTTCCCGTTTGTCTCTAACGCTGAGCACGCCCGGTGGGTGCAATGCAAAAGCGTCCCCCACGGTGGGGAAGGAAGACGGCCGCGGACTTGGGGACCGAAGCCCGCCCCGCCTGCGACAGCGCCGCGGGCCCGAGCCGCCGGCCCCGCGCCCTTCTCTGGGACCCGCATTGTTCGCCGCGGCCCGGCCAGGCCGGGCTGGGCCGGACCGGCAGCGCGAGGGCCGGGCAGCCCGGAGGAACCCATCCCGCAGAGGCTCGCAGGCGCGGAACTGCGCCTTCCCTCAGGCCGGAGAACCGACCGGAGAGAAAGGACAAGGGCCGCAGGAGTCCACGGTGCAACTGGGAGAGGCAAAGGGCCCACGGGCGGAGGAGGGGATCCGTACCCTGCAAACGTCCTTTGCTGTGGATCCTCATGGTTTCGGGGTTCATGGCAGCCGCCAAGCACCTACATGCTGGGTCTAGACGGGGTGCCGCACCCCACGGCTTCAAAAACAAGGATTCTCGCGTCCTATCGACTGCACCACCGCTTCTTCACTTCCGCGGGCCACAACTTTCACGGAGGAGAGGTGCCGCGTTCGCGGCCCGAGTTTCCGGGGCCGGATCCGGCTCCTAGGCGCGCAGGAGGAAGGGGGAAAAAAAAGCACAAACGAGTGGGCTGCGGCGGTTGAAGATTTGAAAACGCGTCACGCGACCGCGGCGCCGATACGCGCGCCCCTCCCTCGTACGTCGCGCAGCGCCCCGCCCTGCCTTGCGCTCGCCACACGGGCCCGCCCCCTCGCGCCGCGCGCCCCGCCCCCTGCGCCGCAGGCGTGTCCTCCCCGAGTGCCCCGCTCTTCTTGCCTCGGACCCCAGCTCTTCGCCATCTGCCAGAAGTTCCGCCGCAGCCCTGGAGAGTCAGTATGCCCAGGTGTAGGCCAGGGTAGTGGATGCGGCTAGCGCCGGAGGCCGGCCAGCATACTGCCGGGGTCGTCCTCACCTGGTAGGCTTGCTGGGACCTCCTGCCTTCCAGCTGCCTCTCCCAGGTACGCTAATTTTCCGTGGGTAGGACGTCCAGGAGGCTGGAGGCCGAGCCCGCACTTGGCCTCGGACTTGGCGGGGGCCCGGCGTTCGCGGCAGTTCCTCCTCCGCGCGCTCCGAGTTGCGAACGAGTTGTTCCCCACGTCCCTGACCCCTCGCCGGCGGCTGGGGACCCGCGGCACAGGGACCCCCGCGGCGGGGCGGCGGCGGGTGCGCTGCCCGCTGACCCTGAGGGACTGGGAGGGCCTGTGGGGCAAGGCCATGTTCCATACTGACCTGTGTGTGTGTGTGTGTGTAGAAGTTTATTTGAACAACAAAAAAGTGGAAAATGAAGTCTCAAGTCTCAGGGTTTGTCATCTGTAAAACGGGGATAATGGGATTATGGTAAGGATGAAATTGAAATGCTATTTTGTTTTATACGTGGGGAAATACCTCACAAAAATTCTATTAGGTATGTTTCTGCTTGTGAGTTCCCTTTTTTAAGAGAGAATTATATTGTGCACTACTTTGCATTTCTTGACTCCTGGCCATAATAGGTACTCACTGTATAGTGGTTGAATTTTAACCTAATAACGCAGAGGTGTCAATATAACCGCCTTGCGAGTAAGTATGTTAAAACATGGGAAGAATGGACTGTGACACTGTTAGCCAACATAGAGGACAAGAGATGAATCAGGGTTGCTAAGGGAAATGAGAATTTTGTTTCAGACAGGTTTAGGTTGAAGAGTCCAGGGCAGCAATCTTGGAACCATCTGTGACAGTTGGAGACCTTGGTAACTCCAGAGTTGACTGGAGGGGATTATAGCAGACAGTAAGAGACATTGGACTGGCAGATCTCAGTCATGAGGTTAAGTGTAGCAGTTAACAGATTTTGAGAGGTAAGAGGACGTGTAGTTTGACCATTAATTTCTATATGGGAAAAAGAACTTATTTTTCAAAATACAAACCATAGAAAGCACAAGGCTTCTACATTTTTGAAAAGGTTGAAAACACCAATATAGAATATAGTTGAAGCCATGGAGCAGAATGAAATTGACCAGGATAGAATAGCGGGTTAGATAAAAGAAGTGATGAACAGAGGATGATGTAATGAGAGAGAAAGATGGAGAAAAGGCCAGAGTTGGGAGGAGAAGTAGGAACTAAATTTATGGTCAAAAGTCACAAAATTAAGTTGCAAACATTGAGATAATTTGGGCTTCTCTAAACTATATGGCTTTGGATAATTTTGAGTGTCAGTTTTAGTTTATGAAAAAGGGATAATACTTAATAAGCTGTTGTGAGAATTAAGTGGAACATTTTTGAAAGCTTAATTAGTGTAGTTCTAGGCCCAGAGTAAGAGCTCAGTAACTGCTGCTCTTGTGGGGAACTTTGCACAGCCCCACAATCCCCAAGAGAGATCCAAAAGGCTGAAACCTGAAAAACAGGCCTTTGATTTTGGTGTGGGGATGCCATTGATTTCTTAAATGACAATTTGAGTGGATGGTGAAGGTAAGTATTAAAAATGATGGATTTGAGGTTGAAGCAGGTTGAGTGTACTGTTGCAAAAAATTTGTTAGTGGAGGAAAGTAGTAATAGGAAGGGAAGTTTGGGTTTTTGGATGAGAAAGATTTAAATTTGTTTCTATAGAAGAAAATGCAAAAAGTGGAAGCCTACTTTTCGTTCTAGTGAAAGATGAGTTATTATATTTCCTACTATATAGCAAGGCAGGTTAGTAACAGAGTTGCACCCGGTGCTGTTAGGCTCACCCTTGCCTGCACTGTAGGTGATAATTTCAAGCTATGAATAAGCAGAAATTTTACTTTACTGGATAGTTGGTAATTTTCCAATCTATTGTCAAGGTTAAAAGATATTACTGAAACACAAATCTTCTAGTGGCTATGGGAAGAAGGACTTATATGGCCAGTAAAGCTATAAACTTCCTTACCTATCATGTAAATAATCACATCTATTGCTAAGAGATTAGAATGAAGTTTATGTTGAAGTAGATCTTGAAAATATGCATAAGCAAAGTCCTTCAGATGAAGGGTTTACATTGAAGAAGAAGTGAAGGGGGCAGAGCTATTTGTGGTGAAACTGTTGAGCAATATTGGAGAACATTGAGCCCAGTCATGGTCTAATTAAATGATCATTTGGCTGTGAATCAAGAGAAATGAATTTCATTTAGTACTGGCTCTATCCTTAGGTAGGTTTGTGACCTTAGATACTAACTTGGGTGGTGCTAGGGATCAAACCCAGAGACTTATGTATGCTAGGCAAGTACTCTACTACTGAGCTGCATCTGGAACCAAATCTTTTATATTTTAGAATGTCCTCATCTGTAAGTTAATATCTGCTCAGTCTACTCTACCACTTTTTGTGATTATTAAATGACAATCTGCCTTTCAAATTATGTCACACATATCCAAATATAAATTTTATATTCTAGCATCTAGACAAGAATTTTTCTGTAATATTTATGAGTTTCCTCTTTTCCTTCTTTTGCTTAAGCCTCTTCTGGCTAGCAGTTGTTCTCTTTCCATTGGTTTAAGTTTCTTTAGGATAGTATGAAACATACACTGACCAACCATAAGATAATCTGTACCCCAATTGCTGACTTCCTTCTGTATTGGGCACCTACAATGTACTACACTTAGTGAATTAAACCATTCACTGTAAGACCCATAAAAGGCTCATGTAAATTCAAATTTTTTCTAATTCCTTTAATCTGCATGAAATAAAGTACATTCATAATATATGAAATACATAACAAATATGTATTTCAATGTAATTATTGCTATAGTCAAAATGTAGAATGTTTCTGTCACCTCAGAAGGAATCTTCATTCCTCTTTCCAGACTCTGTTCTACCTGAAGTAACCAGTTCTATGTTTCCTATTATTATACAATAATTTTAGTTTAATATAGAATAATAGAATTTATACATTATGGGTTGTAATTATTGTGTAAGATGTATTTTTGTAATTTTGTTACATGTGTCAGTAGCTCATTCTTTTTTATTAGAGTAGTATTCCCTTGTGTGCATATAGCAGTTTATCCATTCACCTTTGATATATTGAGTTGTTTCTAGTTTTGAACTGTTGTAACAGTGCTATTTTCATTTGTATATAACTTTTCTGGACATATATTTTTTTTCTCTTGGAATTGCTGGATCATATGGTAATTGAATGTTTTAACTGTATGAAAAACTACTGAAGTTTTGAATTCTTCCTCCAGGTAATGTATGAGAATCCAGTTATTATACATCCTTGACACAGAATGGAACTCATGTTGATTTTTTAAAAAATTAGGTTACATTTGTAAGACATAAAATACCCCATCTTAACAATTTTGAATTGTACATTTCATAACTTCAGTGTATTAGCAATATTGTGCAACTATCACCACTATCATAATTTATGAACAACTTCAGCACAGCAAAAAGAAACTTCATACTCATTAGGTACTCATTTTCATTCCCTCTTCTCTCCAACCCCTGCCAACCAGTATTCTTCTGCATCAAACACAGAAATTCATTTACTCTGGACATTTCATATAAGTAGAATCATAGAATATGTGGGATTTTCCTGTCTGGTTTCTTTTATTTAGCATGTTTGCAAGGTTTATCCATGTTGTAGCCTGTATCAGTCCTATACACACACACACTCCTCTGCCCGTGGTGCTGGGGATTGAACTCAGGCCTTGTGCGTTCTAGGCAGGTGAGTGACGTCCTCCAGCCTTTAGATTTGTGAGACAGGATCTTGCCATGTAGCTTAGACTAGCCTGAAACTATATTGGCTGGCCTTGAACTCATGATCCTCATTAATTTCTACCTCCTTGAGTGCTCTCAAGAGTTCTTGTGACTGTGCTTCAGTTAACCAGGTATAGCTCACACTGTCAGCAATCTTTGGCATCATCCATGATGATTCGCCAGCATGCAGAATGCGTGGATGCTTCCACCAAACTTTCGAAGGAAAGCCTTATAGCAAGACAGTTTGGGTTGGAATTTCTGCATGTAGCCATGGAGCTGCGAGAGTGAAGCCAAAGCTGCAGTGGAGACCCCAGGAAGGAAGAGATGCCAGGAATGTTGTCTGACAAGAGAAACTGCAGGCAGTATACAGAGCCAACACAAGAGAATAGCCATGTGAGCTGCAGTGGACCCATCATATTCTTAGGATGCCCACATCCCACCACACTGTGCCCCAGATGCCAGACATGGAGACTTAGAATTTAGTATTTGCCCTGCTGAGTTTCAGTCTTGCTTTGGTATGATCCATCCCATTAGTGCCATAGGCCAGAAACCCAGTCTTTAACACTTGGGACTTTTGGGGAATACTTACCCAAACTGTAGCAACCCTCTAGTGAATTTTTCATTTCACTTGTACTTTTCCATTTAGGAATTTCTGTTTGTTTTAAAATAAAACTTGTGTTCTTTATTTATAATCTCTCTTTATTGCTATATTGGGGATTAAACTCAGGGCCTTATGCTTGCTAAGCAAGCACTCTACCACTTGAGCCATGCCCTCAGTCCTTTTGCTTTTAATTTATTTTTCAGATAGGGTCTCATACTAATTTTGCCCAGGCTGATCTTAAACTGTGATCCGCCTACTTCTGCCTCCTGGAATTACAGGTATGTACCGCCACACCCAGTTTTTTTTTGAGATTGACTTTTGCTAACTTTTTCTTTACCTTTTGTTTTGTTTTTGAGATAGGGCTATGAAACACTATCCTCTTGTCTCCGCCTCTCAGTAAGCAGGGATTGTAGGCATGTACCACCAGGCTCAGCCCATTAATATTTTCTTTTATGAGACATTGTTCTAATGATGTTATTCAGTACTTTGT